GAAAGACAACACCTCTGGCAATGGAACTCCCCCCAATGCTGGACTGGAATGTCAAGTGAACTCAGGTTCTGAGACGCTACCCCACGTGAATGGCGCTATATAAATGCAAGTTATTGTTCTTAACTTATACCATGAGCTCAAGACTATTAGAACCAGGAAGACCTAACCAAAAAGATTGATGAAGAAGAATAGCTTTTAAAAGGGAATAATAATTGATAAATATCTGACAGGGTGCAGGGGAAAAGGTAAGCAAGTGGGACTAAATGGAAAGCTCCTATAAACAGCTGGCAAACGAACAATAGAACTGCTTGGTTCTATAAATATGTAGATCAAGAGGTTAAATGATAGATTAATAATAGCATAAGCAAATGACTTCAGTTCTGCTGATTGAGTACATTTCTGCTGATCATATTTTACCCTTCGAGCTTTTTTTAAAATAAATTCTTTACATTGACAGAACTGGAATATTTAACAACTAAATACTTGCAGCTGTTATAGGGGTTGAAATTCCACAAGGGTCTAGATTTACTTTTTTTTAGCATTTCAGAGTGTACCCAGACTCTGACACATTCTTACATGAAGCCAGGTTTCTGTAAGATCTTTTGAAAACTACCGAAAACTGGCTTGAAAGCTGAATTGGAGCTGAATTCAACAATTGGCCAAATTCTAGACACTCTGAAAGGCTTAGAAAACAGAGTTAAACTCAAACCCGATGGAATTTCTGCCCAGCAAATCAGGCATATCTAGGTCAGGCAGCATCCACCATAAAGTAAGCTGCTTTTAGTGACTAGTTATTTAGGCAAACAGAGGTTAACCTGCAGTAATGATCTTAATAAAAAAATTAGGACCATGGAATCATAGGATGTACAACACAGGAGGTCACTCGGCCTATTTTGTTGTGTCAGCGTTTGTTCCTTTAATCCCAATTCCTTCCCTGCTCTTTCCCCGTCCCCTCTAATCCCCCCTCTTTGCACGTGCTTGTCCAGTTGTTTTTCAAACAACTCCAATAATCATCTCTGCTCCAACAGCTACGCCTGACAACCCTCTGAAGAAGGAATTCTTCTGAATGTTTTCTTTTACACCCTTAGCCACAGTCTTGAAGAGAGAGAGAAAAGCAGAGAGGGTGGGGGGAAGCTGAGAAAAAGAGAGTGATATCTCTTGACCACTTGTCCATGTTACTGACCGGGAGAAAGATTTTAATCGGAGTGACAGGATGACATTCTCTTGTTCCTACCAATAGCATCTGATGATGAGATAATAATAATCCGAAATTCACTAATAAAACTGGCTCATCTCCTGTACCAGCCATCTTGTGTCTCACCAATGTTGACATGAACTTCACAGACCACACCTGTTAGGACAGAGTCAATCCACAAGAATTTACACTGATAAGCGCTTTCACAAGGGAGAACACCTCAAGAGAGGAGAACATGTAAGATGAGTGGCGGAGGGATAGCCAAGAGGTGGCCAAAGGCACAATTAAAGAGGTAGATTTTAGATGGGATTTGAAAGGTGAGAGAGGGAGGGAGGGATGCAGGGAGGACTTCCAGAAATTCCAAAGAGATGGAAAAAAGTGGCTGAAAGTGGTGTGGCAGAGGTCGTAGGGGGGGGAGAAGGGGACATGAGGCAGTCCAGAGTTGGCAGAGTGGAGTGGGGGGGGTGGGGGGAGGGAGGGGAGTATGACCGTAGAGAATCAGAGATTTATTCTCCCCAACGGCAGCGGCACAGAAGAAACTAAATCCCTCAGCTCGAGATTCTCGCATCAGTTTGATTTTTCATTGATAACATCATCGATCTCATCTACTGAAGGTCACTCAGGCAAACATTCGCAAAGCGTGTATTGTCTGCCGTTCCCAATATTTTGGTGTTGGAGTTGTTTTTGTCGGAACCTTGGTTTTTGTCTGGTGATTTTGTGTTTAGTGTTTAGTCTGCTGATCAGATTCTATTACAACAATGAAATATTTGGATCTTGGTTTTTGTCATTGTGACAAGTTCTCTCTCTGGTAAGATTACATTTCTCGAAGGAGCATCCTCTATCTGGAGAGTATTTACTTACATTGTGTACAGGGTGTTCACAAAGTCCTGTTACCCCCCGACTCCCCGTTTTTTATCTTATATTGAATTTTTATTTTCTGTTGCAGATGAATCGAGTACAACAATGTCTGACACCAGTAACTTCCAACTCACTGACTCCATCCATGTAACAGAAGATGTGGCACCAAACATGGTGACGGATCATTATCTGCCATGAAAATGATGGTGCTCCCTCCCTCCCTCCCTCCCTCCCTCCCTCACTCACTCACTCACTCACTCACTCACTCACACTGATCCTCTGGACGTCTAAATACAGTTAAACACTTGAACTGAATACAATTAAGTATTTCTAAATACAATGATCATTCTTCTACATGTTTCTGCTGTTGGTCAGTGCACAGCAGGAAAAATAAACATGGGGTAACAGGACTTTGTGAACAGCCTGTAGAATTTTTTATGCAAATAGCTATAGAAATTATTAACAGCTCAATCGCCTTCATAACTTATTGGTCAAAAAATGTACGATTGATTCAAGAACATACTTTAATGAATTATGCGATAACGAGACCTTGATCCTGAAGTTTCACCTAGTCTTAAGTTGCAGGAACATTTTGTCTTAAACTTTAAGAACAGGCAGAACAGTGGGAAAATCTTCAATTTCCAATTTTAATTTGAAAGAACTACGGAATAAACAGCTTGCAAATTAGGAGTAATTGAATAATCCTTCACAATTCTGCACGATCTTAAGGTTTAAGACATAGGCCAAAAGTAGGTGGAAGTTTGGGGCCACAGGTTTACAAAATAGGTTCATTTGCATTGTGAATTTTAGTTCGATTTCAAACGCCTTTATTGCTGAACTAATGGATATTCTATAGAATTACTATGCGCTCAGGAGCTGGAAACCTCAATTCAAACAGATTGTGCACACCCCCAAACTCTTCCCCTCACATGAACTGAATAGCTGTGCTGTGGGGTATTGTTAACTGCCGTTGGCTGTATGGTTGCATGTGTAAATTAACCAAATAAATGCTTTCTGCATAAATCTGCCTTTTGGCTGTGCGTGGAATAGAATTAAAGGATAACGATGTATTTGGCAGCCAATTGCACACAGCAGTGACCCACAAACAGTCGTGGATTGAGTGGCCACATTATTATATATTTTGTTGTAGGGTTTGTAGAGTTAACAACCAGGTTCCAATTTACATAACTTAAAATAAAACAGATTAAATCAAGATAAGGGGGGATTTCTCTGTCTGCTTATATAGAAAAGTTACAACAGAGAAACAGGCCATTTGTCCCAACCAGTCTGTGCTGGACTCAGATATATTGATTGGGAGTGAGCTGGTAACGGGCTCTGGGACGAGATAAGGAAATACAGGAAGTCTTCCCAGCACAGATTTTGATTGACTGTATTTTTCATTTCTCCGTCTCCATAAACCTCATATTTTCTTATATTAATCTAATATTTTCCTCATATTAAGTCTATATTGCTCTGAACTTAATTATTTTGAGTCTAGAAATGTTTCTATTCACACTCCAGTGTTAGCTTTGTAAATATACAATTTAGGATGTGTTCATATCCTTTTTCTGAATTTACAGTTCTGAATTTAATCTCAAGCTTCGAAAATCAGCTCATCTCAAGATCCAGTGAGGCTTTCATATTCCCTCTTATTCCCAATCCCATGACAAGATAAAACTTAATATTAGTTCAGTGATGCTCAACCGGAGATCTGTCTATTGTATTTATTTATTACTGTACAAAAGGCAAATCTGCTATAACGACCTCAGTTAAGAGATTTCTCTCAGGAAATCTTTTGGAACATTTTAAATTATGAAAATGTAACTCTCCCCGAATTATCGCTTTACTTCCTATTTTTTAAAGTTTTCCATAATAGTTTTCCTGCATCCTCTGCCATTTCCCTCTTTTTAGCTTGTTACCTACAATACAATATTACATTTGTACAGCGCCTTTCACGTCGGGATGTCCCAAGCTGTTGGACAGTCAAGGATTTGGACCCGAGCTGGGTGGTGGTATTGGGATAAGGGAGGGTGGACGACAGGGAGAGGAAGGCGGCTGAAGGCACGGTTGGAGAGGAGGGTCTTGAGACGTGCCTTGAAGGAGGTAAGAAGGGAATGTGGGATATAGTTCCAATCAGTGGGGGCGGAGAGGCAGGTCTGACCGCCAATGGTGGGACGGGTTGGGTGGGGAACGTGGAGCAGGCTGGAGCCTGCTGAGCAGAGAGCAGACAGGATCCGGGCTGTACATAGTGCGAAATGGGAGGGAAACAGGCCATTTGGCCCAACTCGTCCATGATAGTTTGCTTCCTTTTTGGTCATTTGTTTTCCACAAAACCTTTGGTTTCGGCAACATTTAGAACAAATTTCATCTTCCTTTCCTGCTAAGTCCCTCCGACTCGTTCCCTTCCATCGTTCAAGGCTCGTCTCAAAGACATTCCTTTTGACCACACTTTCGGTCAGCTTTCCCTCCCTCGCCCTTTCCGCTCTCATCCCCAGCTCTGGTGCCCAGCCCGATGCTTTGAGACGTCTTAACAATGTGAAAGCCGCTGTATTGTCTGAAGGACAATGAGGCACTCCCCCAGCAATGTACTGGAGCATCAGCTTAGACTGAGGTCAAACTTCTGATGTGAAGTTAGAACCCACAACTTTCTAAGTCAGAGCCGAGTTACAACTGATTCCTATTGCCTGACCCAAGGCTGCCACCTGTATAAATATGGCTCCTATTTATTCTATTGTCTTGTCAAATACAACCCGGGAAAATTTGCTACAAATATAGGAGCCACCCGCCATTCTTTGCAGAATTGCACCAAACCATCTGAAAGTTCATGCAGTAACTTTACACTCGCACACGTGTATAAGAAATAACCAGCAATTAATTTGTTGCTCAATTAATCAGCTTTCAAATTGCCATATGTTTATATTGGTTTATTTATTTGAAATATATTTTTAAAGCAGTTTAATGATGTATAATTCTAACATTCTGTTCAGGTAATTTAGGTGTATACATCTTCCGTTCAAATGCATAATTTTCTTTTAAAACTGCCCAAACATTTACAGGAATATTTGCAGTTTTCCAAAAAGCCATTCGGTCCAAGTCATTTTTCTGGTCGCCACAGGAACAGTCAGATCATATCCTCCGGTTCTGGGCTGACCTCCTCTACAATATCTGCTTGAAGAGCTTGTCTAAAACCAGTCCTTTTGACCTACTTTGTTCCTGTTCTGTTCTCAGGTACTGTATACGCTGAAGCCTGGTGCAATGGAGCTCTGATTTGCAAGTCCCCAAAATAATAACTTTGCTTTTTATCTTAGACATTTGAGAGGTGGGGGAGGGGGGAGGAGGGAAAAGCCATGTTATTATTCTTCTCTGTAGCACTGCTCCAGTTCAGAAAAGCTGATTTATACACATCAGCGTAAGAGTGTCTGCATTGCAATAAAAGGCTGTTATTGAACAGAGCTGGACGTCGTTGTGGTGGTTGCAATCCCGTGGGGTTCTTTCTTCTTCTTGTTTCCAAGCTTCTTTTCTCTGGGTTCCTTGTTGTTTTGACTGTTGTCGCCTCCTTTGTTCTTCTTGTCCTTCTTTCCCTTTCTGTTTCTGTCTTTCTTGTTTCTCTTCTTCCCTGGGAGAGGAAATACAGATGTCGTCAACACTCAATTTAAAAAACAAACAGCGAAAAAAAAAACATTCCGTAAAATCAAGACTGGTGTGGCCTATTTTGCTTCAATAATAATATTCCTTGCATTTGACAGCCAGGTTCCTACTTACAAAGGCTCTTCAAGCAGGTAAACAAAGCGTGTGAAACTTGCCCAAGGTTTCGGCCACCTGTGAATCCATCCCGGGTCCATGCGCTAACCACTAAGCGAGGATTTATACAGTACGGTGGAACACCAACGCATTGTGACAAATCGCATTTTTGTGGGTTACTTAATCTCTTGGTAAAATCAACAGCTAGAAATGGGCTACCAGGAAACGCATTTAAAAACATCTGATGTAGTGCCCAAAGCATCGCACTTCACAGATATTTAATGTAATGTGTAGTGACTGTGCAATCATAGGCAAATACTGCAGCCAATTTTTGCCCACAGCAATGTCCCACAGTCAGCGATGAAGTGATTGACCAATTTTATCTGCGAGATTGTCAGTCAGAACACCGGGAGAGAGAAACTTCCTTCTCTTTTTGAATAGTGCCACGAGATCTTTAACATCCTCCTGAACGTCAAAGACAGACAGACACACAGACAGCGACACTGTTGTCATCGGAAGCAGTAGGAACAACACTTATCCTCCTGGTCACCAACCAGTAATCACGCGCGACACATATAATGCCAGCCTCAGAATATTACTGTTAAGTACTATTCCGAAGCTGGCGTTATATGGGACAAAGCATGTTTACCGGTGAGAGAAGAGGATGTGAGAAAGTCAAGAAAACACTTGTTCTACAAGAGACTCAAACTCCCCCTCTTGTTGACACTGCCGCTGCTGCTGTGTGCACTCATGTAAAAGCAGCTAAGAGTTATTTATTCTCACCGTATTTCAGAATGTAAAACTAAACCACCTGACCTTGGAATGGGATCGAGGGGCTTAATACAAAGGGAAAGATGGCTCTTTATTTAACGAAAGATTGCTTTCGACTGCTCTGCCACAGGCCCGTCCAGCCGTCCGTCCATGTGAATGCGGATGGTGAGGCACTGAGAGTAAAACCATCTGATGACTTGCGGATCAAGCTGTTTGAATCTCAAATTAAAGAGGTATAGTCCTCAGGGAAAAAAAATGCCGTTTTTATTTGGGGGCGGGGGGAGGGTGGGGTGGGGAAGAGAGAAAGAGAGAGAGAAAAAAAGACAATCCAATGAGTGGATACTTTTTACAAGATGTTATGAAACAAACGGACCTACTTGTGGGATTACATTCCAGGTTTTTTTTTGGCAAATGTCAAATGATTTTACAAAATATTTTCATGAAAAGAGGCCCCTTTAACAGGATGAGCCATGGCACTTTAACAGAGATAACAGCCAGCAAAGCTCTCAAGTGCCTGAAACACAAGTCACTGTAAATATTAAGTTACTTTATCTGCTCTGTGTGTTTAGTCTGTGTTCCACTCCTGATCTGGGGGAGGAGGGGGGGAAAGGTGGGAGAGAGCGGAATAGAACATTTATAATAATAATAATAATCCTTGCATTTGATATAGCGCTTTTCACGTCTTCTAGACGTCCCAAAGCGTTTCACAGAATATACTGTAAAGTGAAATTGACTGTATATTTGTGGGCAAACGCGTCAGCCAATTTCGCACAGCAATGTCCCACAAACATTGAAAACAAATATTGAAAATGACCAATTTATTATTGTTTGTGGTTTTGGAGGGATTATTATTAGGCTCTGTGTGGAGTAAGGAAACTTGCCCAAGGTTTCGCCCTCTGCCTGGAATTGAACTCAGGTCTCTCACTGGCAAAGCGAGTGCTCTAACCACTGAGCTACAGGACTCCACATTTGACGTCACTTTAATTACTGTAAGTATATTTATGCATACATAAATGTATGTATAAATATACGTAAATGTATATACATCTTTTATATAATATTTATGATGCCTCTATATCAGTGTCAGTTTGGCTCAGTTGGTGGCACTCTCACCTCCAAGTCAGAAGTTTATGAGTTCGAGCCCCACATTAGGACTTGGAACTCATATAGTCTAAGCTGACAATCCAATGGGGGTGTAGCAGCATTAATAAAAAGGTGAGTTCTTCAGATGAGACTTTAAAACCAAGACTGCCTGTTCAGGTGCGTATTAAAAGATCCCGTGGCTCTCTCTCCAGGTGTCCTGGCCAACGATCTCCAGATGAAATTGGGTCACTTGCTCCATGGCTGTTTGTGGGACATTGCTGTGCACATCTTGGCTGTCACATTCACCCACAAAATAGTAATTTCATTTTACAGTAAATCCTGTGAAGTGCTTTGGGACGTCTTCCCAACATGAAAGGTGCTTTGCACCTTTCACGTTACGAGGACATCCCAAAGCACTTCACAGGATTTATTGTAAGGATTATTATATAATGCGCAAACAGCACTCTATATAGCATGATACTGCATGGAAATAGACGATTTGGCCCAACTATTCTGTACTGGTGTTTATACTCCACACAGCCTCCAACCCTCTATTCCCCTCACCAATACCCCTTTACTCCGTTTTCCTCTTGCAAGCATCAAGTTTCCTCTTAAATATGTTGACACATTTTGTGTCAAAAGGGAATTAAACCTGGCATGTATCCTGGACATAAAACACTGCACTTTACACTGTTTAAACAAAATTATACCAAAAATAGAACAAGAAAAATAAACAGCATGATGTTAAAATCAATCACAAATCTCAACACGGAGTATTTAAACGGTTCCGCAGGAAACTCAAGTTGTTAAATGAGGATTGAAAGGCAAAGGTTGGAATCGGAAATCCTTGAGCGCAGCATACAACTACAGTCACTACACTTCACAGAAAAAAATGTATAAAGCGCTTTCAACATGATAAGACCTCTGTTAAGAGCAAAGATTATTACATGTCACCATTTTTACTGACCCATAACCTCCAACCCTCTAGGTTGACTTTCAGTGCAGTGCTGGAGAGAGCACTACATTGTCGGAAGTGCCACCCATCGGATGAGATGTTTAACCGAGGTCCCGTCTGCCTGTTCAGGTGGATGTTAGAGATCACAAGCTCTAGTCAAAAAGAGAACGGAGTCTCTGTCTTGACCGACAATCCAACCGATAAAATGCTCAATAACTTCATGGCTGTTTGTGGGACATTGCTGTCCGGGACTCAGCTGCAAAGTGCACAGTCACTGCACTTCACAGTAAATTCTGTGAAGCCCTTTGAGACATTCTCCTGATGTCAAAGGTACTATATTAAATGCAAGTATTAATAATAATAAACCTTGCATTTGATATAGTGCCTTATCACATCATCAAGACGTCTCCAAGCGCTTCACAGGATCCACTGTAAAGTGCAGTGACTATTTATCGTGTGGATGGAATGTTATTACTGTGTAATATTGCTGCAAAACGAGAAGTGAAACATTAAATGAAGATAAATAATTTTATGAAGATCTTTCCCTAATAGTCTGCAGAGACAAGTTGCTGGAAGGTCTAAGCCACTACAGTTAAGGCTGAGCCAAGGCTGAAACTTTCACTGAGTATTTATGAGGTTCAGTCGGTCATGCATTCTTTTAAGCTTTGTTAACATTATATCAGAATATAAACTAAAATACACAAAATTATAGCACTGTGAACGGCTTTCAAACTGCGCTGTCTAAGATTTCATCCTGCCCACTGAAATCCATGTTGGAGGAGCATAGGAATGTTCAGGTCAGAGAAAGACCATTGTATACTGTAGCCAGTCTGGCTGTCTCGTTTTCAAATACCATCTCTCCATCTGACATATCCCGTTCCTTAACTCCCCCCAAACCCCCATCGACATCAAATTGCATATCCACAAAACACACAGTCACACCATTTTACAGTAATTCCTGTGAAGCGCTTTGAGACTTTTCATGACATAAGGCGTTATATCAAATGTAAGGATTATTATTATTATAAAGTCCCATCCAATTCACTCTTGAACCTGGCCTCAGTATTCCGCTCTCACGGAAAGAACTATTTCATGTGTCAATCAGCCGCTGGATGAAATGTGTAAAAAAAAGCACAATGAACCTTTATTGAGCGTGGTTTGCAGGCAATTCACAATAAATGGTAGCAAGATGCGTATTCTCTCATGGGGTGTAATGTGCACTCACTATACCAGTGTCTGGCTCAGCGTATCCCAGTGTTGGAGAGAGATTGTATGGCACAGCACGCTGGCATCCTGCCTTTCATCTCTCGCTGCTTAAATCCAGCCGCGGAGGGTTGGGTAAAAAAAGTTTCAGACCTGCTGCTTGTGCAATAAAATATGGATAGTCTCAACCCAGTTCTTAGGCACACACCATAAAACTGTCTGAGATTTAGGGCCGTTTTATTCAAAGAGAAACAGCATCAATTAGTGCAAAACGCAGACACAAACCCCAGTGAGGTGGTGGGGGAAGCCTATAGTGGTTTAGAGTTCAGGCTGTGTTATTGGCAGAGAGTAGGGGCAGCTTTGCTCACCATCTGTCTTTGTAATTGCTGCTTTGGCAGTATTTGTGAGGATTGGTTTCAAGATCATGTTTTTAAGCTTCATCCGATGTCACCTTCAGAATGCCTCCGAGCCCTTGTCCCAATCTCCCTCTACGATCTTGTGTGGTACTCCTCCCCCGCCTATTCCCTCCGCTCTGCCAGCTCTGGCTAGGATCATCTTTCCCTTCCTCCCCACCCCCATCCCTATTGACGGGCAAGCTTTCAGCCACTCTCCTCATCGCTCTCCGGAGCTCTCTCTCTAAATCTTTCCATCTCGCGCTCTCTGCTTTCAAAACCTATTTGAATAGTTCTAAATATACAGTCAATTCACTTTACAGTATATTCTGTGAAGCGCTTTGAGATGTCTTGAAGACGTGATAAGACGCTATATCAAATGCAAGGATTATTCATTTATTTAGCTCTCTCTTTGACTGCACCCCTTTCTTCCTACTTCATCAGTCCTAACCCCACATGAAAGGTACAATA